ATTTTCATGGCAAGTCTCGGTCCCTGTGCCTTACGATTAGCCACATACATCGCTAAAGCGGCATTACACAGACTAATTTCTTCTCAACTGCCTCAACGTGGATAAATAAAAGCTAAATAAATTTTACACGGAGTCTCTTTTAGTGTAGCACCTTCGTGAAAGTATTTTCATTCCAGCCTCCGGTTGGAATTGATTCATCGATGGAATTAAGTCATTCACCCTCACAGGTCCAGCTCATAAACGACGCCTACAACCTCGTGATTGACGCCATGCTGGGCCCCGAGGATGACGTCGTCGACATAAAAGAGCCCTACGCTGGGATTCTGGTCACCCTCAAGCAGGTCAAGATCCCCATAGCAAGTGTGGACGTGCCCTCGGGTGAGTTTTAACCGACGAGCAGGCCCTTGGGGTTCAGTTTTTTTTTTCAGAGTATCGAGGACCGTGTGGAGGATAAATCTGCTACCGGCAGAACTGTGTGAGCTCATCATTCTTAACTACTGCACAAAACTGTTCGTAAATTGAATACCACGACGCAGGATAGAGACCTCTACCAGAATTGAACTGCTAATAAAATTTATGTTAAGGCTGTGTGATGAATTGATTTTATCAATCAAATCAAGTTCATTTTCTTGTGCGATTTGTTTTTCCATACGTCGAGTGTGTCTTGGTTGACGTGCGTTACTTGGACTAACAGCATTGTTGTGAAAAATGAGGAACTAGTTTATAAAAGCACAGTGTTACAAACCAAGCGACTTTGGCAACCCCTCTATTTTTCCGAAAAAAGGCGTTACCCGTATTTTCTGCACTATAAGGCGCATCGGAGTATAAGGCACACCTTTAATGAATGCGCTATTTTAAAACTGTTTTCATATATAGGGTGCATCGCATTATAAAGCACATAGAATAGATGCTACAATAGTGGCTGCGGTTGCATTAGGCATCCACTAGATGGAGCTACGCTACAATACAATACAGCTTTATTTATATCAAGCTTTCACAACCGCTGCAGCTGTAACAAAGTGCTTTACCGAACATTTAAAATACTATGTGCAATAAATCAGAGTATTGATCCATATATAAGGTGCATCGGATAATAAGCCACGTTGTTGGCTTTTGAGAAAATTCAATGCTTTTAGGTGCACCGTATACTGCGGAAAATATGCTAATTACCACGTAGAAACAGACGCGATGGTATGTGCTTACATCTGCAAATATTTTGGAGGTCACTTTTGCCTCACCTGTACAATATTAATATGATGACAAAAACCTCATACTCTGACATCACACATATGGATGAGCTAAGTCACGTTTTGACAGTTCCTATTATGATGTTAAATTGAACATTTTCAAAGTTGATTTATTCACAATTGTGTTTAAACTCAACGAGCTTTGACAATTTAGAATTTGTTTTAATTTTCCATAGGCAAAGGGCAAAAAGAAACAATTAAAATTGGAAAAATCTTGTTTTTTCTTTAAAGAAAAAAAAAAGCCTGAAATTTTATTTCACATAGCTCCCAGCCTGTGAACATGTGGATGATATTTTTTTTGGTGCTGTATCAGCATTCGACAAACTGACTTTGAACACAACTTCGGTTTCTGGTGGTACTGCAATATGTGGCCGGTAACTGCAAATTCAGACCAAATGACCTGGATACAGGAGGAAAAGCTCTGTGCGTTTCTAAAGTAAAGCATACATGAGCCTTAAGCCTTAGATGAGACGGGATGGGATGGGGTTCTACTGTTTGGTCTGGGATTGTATCCATTATGGAAAAAAAAAAAGCAATTTCTTCTTCCTCGGTGCATGTTCCAACCCTCCACAAACGTTGAAGGAAATCTATTACTGTATCTCGTTATTGCATAATCCTGGCGACCGACAAACCATACAACATACAGCAAGCGAAAACAACCTCTCTTGTTTCTCAGGTTGGGATGTCGAAGAGGCGGGTCAAGACGGGATAAGCCCGGAAGTGCTCATCTCTCTGACGGCACCAAAGAAGTGCGCCATGAGTTTCTCGGGAAAGCATTTCCTAGCTGGACGCTTCCTGCCTTACGATATCCAGAAAAAATACGACCTGAATCTCCCGGATTACCCGGGAACAGACTCTCTCATTGAACTGTAATGCAGGGGTGGGGAAAATATTTTGACAGCGTTTCTTGTTTTGCATCTTACAGATGAGAAACAAACCATGTCTCAGTCGTGTCTTTCGGGCCTTCGTCGCATTTGCTGTTCGGTGACAGTAGGAGGATTTAGAACCTGTGACCTGGTGTCTTTTTAGAGAGAAGCTTGAGATGTTTCTGTGTCAGTCTCCAAATAGGAACTGTAGCATTATACATGTTGGATCTATTGAACAAAAGAGTTTTATTTGACTGAACTTTTTCTTGTTTGATACTGACGCCTGCAACTGTTTTATTTTCTGTTTGCACTAAAGCAATATGTTGGTTTTCTTCTTTTGCTTTGACAAAAACGGTTCTTGTTGTCTAAATATTAAAAATATCAATTTAAACATTGTTGAGGCTTTTGTCAGTGATATGTAACTCTACGATGACCATGCCTTTTGTCAGCAAGGCCAAATTAGCATAAAAAGCCTTTGCCGGAACATTAAGAGTGTAATTGGTCGCTGTAAACATGACCTCACGTTGCGTAAATAACGTACGCGTGTAAATAAATCATGTAGCTCAAGGGCACGGGGACGAGCGTGTTTATTTACAAAACTCGGGTTCTGGATAGTACGAAACTTCATCAGAGCTTCGGTCTGCTTACACAGATGGACTTTGGTATGTCGGAGTCATCGTGCGCGATGTGAACAACAGCTTTGTGTTCCAAGAAGGGAAACAATGATGAATATTAATGTTACGCAAAAATAACATTCAATATTGTCCGAATGATTTGTTCTTTTCTATTCCATCTTTTTTGCCGCCATTGCCATTGCATTCTACACTTGCACTAACAGCTGAGGAGCTTTTATTTTGAAGGCCTGATTTAACCACCTACAGGATTTTTACGTCATTGATGCCCGAGTGTTGCCGAGCAGACCGGGAGAGTCGTTATTGCCTGCGGTTGCGAATAAACGCTTGCGCCGCCTTGAATTGATCTCAGTTAACAAAATTACATTTAGAAACAAGTATATTGCGTGATGCGCTTAGCCACAAAACAAATTAAAGTTGCAAGCCAAGGTATCAATGACAGCAAAACCTAAATTTGTTCGTAAACTGGAATGTGCTGTAATCTATCAATAACCTATGCTAGTTCATTAACCAAAGCCCTTGTTACAGTCTTAAATATCCATGCATTCGTTTTCCGATCCGCTTATCCACACAAGGGTCGAGGGGGTTGCTGGAGCCTATCCCAGCTGTCTCGCGGGGGGACACCCTGAACCGGTTGCCAGCCAATCGCAGGGCACACACAGACGAGCAACCATCCGCGCTCACACTCACTCCTAATAATGTTCAATCAGCCTGCCATACATGTTTTCGGAATGTGGGAGGAAACCGGAATGTGGGAGGAAACCGGAGTACCCAGAGAAAACCCACACAGGCCCGGGGAGAACATGCAAACTCCACACAGGGAGGCCGGAGCTGGAATTGAACCCGGTACCTCTGTACAGTGAGGTCGCCGTGCTAACCACTGGACCACCGGGTCGCCAGTCTTCCATAGAAGTAGGAAAAACATTTTTTAGCCTTAGGTCGATCAAATAAAAAGCTGTAAGTATTGTACTCAGTAATTGAGCATTCATTCTTGTATTCTTGCACGGTATTGCAAACCCCCGCAAGGCCCTCCTTTTATCACCTCATTACAACGTACTGTTTATTATTACCATCCCTAAAAAAGTTGACCAGGAATTTAAAATGAGGATATTGTACAACCCCAGAGACGGTGTGAAACAGATAAACACATGTAATGTCTGCTGTAACCGAGCCTTTAACAAGCAACATTCCTCATTAGCTGCACTTCACATGCCGCGAACAAGCCCGCCATTACGCCGCATTAGCACATCCGCGGAGACCTCGCCTTCGCCGGACTTTTCCCCGAGCGGCGTGACAGATGACGCACACTTCCACTCTTTTTGGCGGCACATTGCCGCGCAATCAGCGACTGTTAAAAACGTTAACACGCGCGAACCGCAAGTGGAAGCAGAGGCCGAGCGCAGACTACGAACGTCAAAGACGGTAGGAGGGATCCCTTTAAAAGAAATAAACTATTTGGCCATGGGAGATGTTGTTTTTTTTTTTTAAATGTCTGTCTGAAATAGCTGTCGCACCCACATCAACGGATAACTTTTTCTATGTTGAGGATAAATAAGTCTGCATGGCCTAAACCAATGGTGGGAAACTTATGGCAAGTGGGCCAAATCTGGCCAGTGAGCACATTTTATCTAGCCCATAATCAATTCCAAAAACAAATGTTTAAAAAGCCCAGGCCTTAAGAGTGTATATATGTACAGCTGTGGGAAAAAAAGTACAGTATGTTCCATTTTTGCAGTATGAAATGAGATTCACATCCTGCCAAAAGCTTCTTGCTAGCTTCGAGGTCGGCTATTCAAAGGCTGAGCTGCACAGTATTGATTTACAGACCAGCGAGTGTCTACAGCACGAGTGAGTGACATTTCCTGACGCGTACCATATGTTGTATGTTCTTTGTGGAAACTTGGTATGCCGCAGTACTGTTCTGAAAAAGGAAAAAAAAAAAAATCTGAATACAAATACATGTACCGTAATTTCTGGACTATAGACCACACCTGATTATAAGCCGCACCACTACATTTTTAAAGGAAAAAAATAATTTGTACACACATAAGGCGCACCTGTGTATAAGCCGCAGGTGCCCATATTGTAACATGAGATATTTACAAAGAAAGACGGTACACAGGCGGCCGTTAGAAAAGTCTTTATATAAGCCGCTTCATGAAATAAGCCGCAGAGTTGAAAGCGTGTGACAAAAGTCGCGGCTTATAGTCCGGAAATTACGGTAATTCTTTACCAGCTGTCTGCAAGCCACCAGTTGAGAAGAACTGCTCTCAATTACAATATTTGGAATTTGGAAATGTGAGTACTTTATATCATAAAACAATGAAGTCAATTTTACTCCAAAATTTGGTATATACTGTACCTATAAATGTCAAAAGCAGAGAAATTGATCTTTTTGATGTGGTTTCCAGAGCTGTATCGCTGCATAGTATTTTTTTCTTTTCATGAATTTAGGATGGCCTAAGGACGTCTTTATGAAAGAAACTGTAAGGGTGCGGAGAGGTCCAGATTTAAGGAATTACATTTTAAAATTTTGTATACACAAACTTTTCTTGGCAAGGGGCATCAATCATGTACTTTGCTTAACACTCAAAAGACACAATTGGCATACACAAGAGCAGCTGTTAGCCACAGCTCACACTGAGACACTCACACGCAGACTCGCCAACATCCCACGCCATTCCACCAGGTCCCGCCTTTTAAAAAGGTACACAGCGACGCCAGATTACAATTGGTGTGGTATTTTGTAAAGATTTTATACTTGCGTTGTTTTTGCATTCAAATACAGTTACACAATGTTTTCAAAGCCTGTTTTATGAATTTCAAACGTTTTTAAAGTGTGTCAAAGAGTAAAATTGTAGTAATTTTTTTTTTTTTATTATTTGTAATGTCTCTCTACATGGCATCTTTTCACATAAAACGAGTGGCTCTGGAATGCATCCCCCGCGATGAATGTGGGGGTCACGGTATTAAGTAATTCTCCAGAAAAAGGCCACGATTTAATAACGTTTTTAATTTTAGCATCCGCTCCCTCCCCCTCTCGCTCAGCATTGTGAGTGCCCCCCGCCCCAGGCTTACCGGCCCCCCAACTCCTCCTTTATACCTTTTTTTTTTGGGTGGAAAATGATACGGAGGACGCAGATGTTGCTTCTAAACTGACCAATGGTGAGCAGAGAGGGGCCGGATTGGCGAGCGCCCACGTCGCTCCATCTTTTTAAAAACCACCGGCCTCACGCCTCCGACTGGACAACTGCGGCCCGAGCGGCGACAACACCTCAGCAATCTCACACACCTGAAGGAACCAGGGACCGGTTCACTCCGTTGTGCTTTTTGAGTGACAGAGCGGCACCATGTCGGGATTAAAAACAGCGGCCTTCCTGCTTGCTTTCCTGGCTTCTGCGGCTCTGGGCCAAGGTAAGTGAATGTCAGGAAGGAATGAGGTTTGATCTCATGTCGGTGAGATGATGAGAGGAGAGATTTGGGAGGGGAAATTGGCGGTGAGCTCATCGGATAAAAGGGGCGAGAGTGCACGTGTGCTTGCGTGGTACTGTCAGGACCACCACTGCGGCTCGTGCGCTCCAATATTATGACACGAGCACGCTCCGCCGACAGGCTAATCTGCAACATGTGCTGATAGCAGAGGAGGAGAGGGACCTTCCCTACCATGATGCTTTGTTGGCTTCACTTTTCAAAATTGGCTTAAGGTACATCACGTGATGTCCATTTGACTCCGTTTTAAGTGAACAAATGTTGGCCAATAAAGAGCAACAAAGAGCCTTTAAGAAAAGACTGGACTATCAATTGATGGCTTTCTACAGGAGTGAGCTTTTTTTTCCAAATTAGTTGTTTGCAACTGCTCTCCATGTGCCTTGAGTGGAAAAAAAGGTAAAACACGAAAATATTGTTTAAAAAAAAAAATGAACATTGGAATGAAAATGGAATAGGGTGGGGCTGCAGAGCCTCATAAAATCATATTTTTAGCGCTGTAATTTACATTACCGACTTTTATTTAAAATATATTGTTTTATATTCTTTGTATTTCTTTTTTTTTTTTTTTTTTAATTTGACTTAGTCCAGTAACTCTATCACAAACTTCATGTACATCCCATATTTCATCAAGAGTTTGAATTTCACAAAAGGAAACTTTTGTTAGGCTGAGTAGATTACCAGTAGGGGAAAAAAATATCTATATTTTTTTCATTTTCTTGTTTACAACAAGAGCAGCACAGTGAATAACTGGTTAGCACGTCAGCCTCAAAATGCAGAGGTCAAGGGTTCAATTTCGGACGCTAGCTTTCCTGTGTGGAGTTTGCATGTTCTCCCCATGCCTGCGTGGGTTTTCTCCGGGTACTCCGGTTTCCTCCCAACTTCCAAAAACATACAAGACAGGTTCATTGATCACTCTAAATTGTCCATGGGTGTGATTGTGAATGTGAATAGTTGTTTGACTATGTGTGTCCTGCGAATGGTTGGCAATCAGTTCAGGGTGTACCCCGCCGACTGCACGCCAGTGACCCTCGTGAGGATAAAATAAATCCATCTATCCATTTTCCGATCCGCTTTATCCTCACAAGGGTCGCGGAGGGTGCTGGAGCCTATCCCAGCCGTCTTCGGGCTGTAGGCAGGGGACACCCTGAACCAGTTGCCAGCAAATCGCAGGGCACATGGAGACGAACAACCATCCGCGCTCACACTCACACCTTGGGACAATTTAGAGTGTTCAATCAGCCTGCCATACATGTTTTTGGAATGTGGGAGGAAACCGGAGTACCTGGAGAAAACCCACGCAGGCTCAGGGAGAACATGCAAACTCCACACAGGAAGGCCGGAGCCGGTATCGAAACCTGCACCTCTGCACTGTGAGGTTGACGCGCTAAACACTGGACCACCGGGCCGCCCATAAAATATGTCAATTATTAAAATTTTGAGGAAAAACTGCAAAATGAATGCAACCAATATGACAGGACTCTTGATCATGTCAATACATGTGGGCCAGATGAATAGATCTGCACACGGCTCATCCGCACGAGATGCTAGCACGATATGGATCATTTAGGCTTTTAGATTGTTTTAAATTCCAGTTTCATAAACAAAAAACAAAAGTCGTCTCTGCAAGAACAGACACTTTGTGGTTCATGTCAAAGATGATGTGCTCATATGATTTACTCATGACTTTTGCTGTCTGGAAATTTATAATCCTGATTATTTCCTGCAAAGGCAAGAAAATCAGGAGAAAAAAAAAAGCACCAAACCCAAAAGTAAGTACTGTCTCCTCCTTAACATTTTGGTGGTACATATTAAGATTTTTAATTTGTCAAAATGCCACTGATGTGATTCCAGCTACACCTTAATAGGTCTCTTTGGACTGGGAGACCTACGCAAGTAACAACATTGCAGATGGCCATAAATTAATGTCCCCTCAAAAAATGAATACAGCAGAGCACCTTGGCATCTTATATAGCCGTTAACATTTTCTGTGAAGTTCACTTCATTTGTCCTCAGTCGACCCTTCGTAGCACTGTGCCAGTCGCGCCTCCTATAATCATCCACTAAGTACTGTATGTAGTCCATTCTCCACTTTGTTGGCTTGGAGTCTGGCTAAATGAGAGAATGGAATTAAAAAAAAAAAGAACAGGTAGAGTGAGTTGAAACATGCATATGGTCACTGGCATATTTTTTTTTTTTGGAAGGCCTTTCTCACTCGTCCCACCGCCTCCGAAGCGTGGCGGTTTACGACTTGTTTGGTTAATTGAAGGCGGCCGGCTACTTGTGCTGCAGAGCTTAAAAAAGGCACCGCTTTGCTTTGTAGACCTTTTCAACACGCTCGCCAGAGCCGGCTCGCCTTAATGGCGCGGCCGTTAGATGTGGGCTGTAGATGGAGGGTGACGATCAATTGGAGGATTGCTGGGAGTTGAACGGGCGGCGTGTCCAGATGTTGACTTAGGCCGGCTGGCCAGATGACTTTAATGGCGATAAACGGGATAAGAGAGGGGTCATTAGAGTTGGCTTGCTTCAACCATCACATATGGTTTTTTTGATTCTTTGTTCATTAATTTTTCACTTATTAGGCCATTTGTTGGCATGCGTGAAACATCCCGTCGTTTGTTGTTGTTGTTGTTTTTTTGTGGTATTTTTGAGCTGTGGAGCAAAAGTGTTATTGTTAGGCCTAAGCAATTGTCATAAATAATCTAATTGTGAATTTTTTTCATCAATATTGCGATTGTGATTCAATGTGCAATTTTTTTTTCCAACCGTTTTTTTTCCAACCGTTTTTTTTTTTTTTTTTTTAAATTTAACCTGTATTACAATAGTAGAATGTATCAGATTCAATATACAGAAATGTTTTGGTCTTACTAGACTGGCAAAATAAAGGCAAATTAATTAATTAATATGAAAGTGTTCATTTAGTCAAATCTATGAGAGTTGTGAACCGACAAAATGTAACATTCAGTTACTCCTGTACTTCCAATGTTCATTTATGCACATTTTTTAAAGTGTTTTTCATCCAAGTATTTACTTTATGGCTTGAGTGTGTGTTCGTGATAGACAACTGTGCACACCGACAAATTCATAATTTTTATTTTTTTTTAAATATATGGATGATTTTCTAATACTGTCGTTTGTATTTTTTTTGTTCACATGTAAGGACGTTTGTGGGAGTAATTTATTTCTGATGGGATTCTTTGTGCTATGGGCTCCTGTGCAGCCTTTCAGATAAGGATGTTGAGATACTTTGATTGTGCCCAATCATATTTGAACATTATCGGAGATGAAAGCTTTACCCGGTTAATACTTTCTTACACCGTAAAAAAATTCGAAAAAAAATATCTTCAAATCATGCAGCTGATGTGCGCCATTAGCTAATGTTAGGAACACAATTGCATATCTTAATGAGGCGCAGATGCTTTAGGAATCCAAACATTTGAGGGAAAGGAAAAAAAGACTCCGCACACCTCGACGAAGAAGCCGGCCAAATGCGAAAACAGCTTCCATATGACATGGCAAAGAGATCATCTCACACAAACACACGAACACACGTGCCAGTGTTGCCCACACTGTCTTTCGCGCAGACAGCCAGTCAGAGTCTGCGTCAACCTCGCAGTCTTGGCAGACTAAGCCAACAAGTTATGTAACATGTGAAGGGGGAGGGGGGTGGGGGCTGCTTCGGGGGTTAATGTCTTCTCCTGGAATATACCCGTAATAAACAAGCTCTTGACTTCCATACCGCCTCAATCTGGCACGGTCCTACCTGCTGTGACACCTCGGCCTTTTCCACGCGCTCCCCTTTTATTTATTGGCGCCCTCTCAGGAGCATGATGTATGGCGCGGGGGGAAGGCGTGGCACAAAGAGCCACTGTGTCGCAAACGCAAGCGGTAAAACCTCTAAAATAAGACTGGCAGTTGTCGCGGTTTAAGATGGCGAAAGAATCGTAATCCGGTAGCTCGCGTGGCACACAATTGGCGCTATAAGTGGAACCGGGTTGCTAACCAGGCTCTATGATCCACATCATACCCTTCCGGCCTTTGACGACGCTTTAATGCACGGGTGTCAAACTCAAGGCCCCGGGGGGCCAGATCTGGACCGCCACATCATTTGATGTGGCCCGCGAAAGCAAATCAAACTTGTATGAAGCTTACTCAAATTTTAACCAAAATTTCACATTCTCGTATGTAATATATAAGAGCGCTATTGTTAAGATATTAAGTGGTGGGTTGGCCAATGCTCCGTTTCAACTCATTGGTGGAAATGTCCAGGTGGAAGGTTAATCGGCAAGAGTGTGAAAAGTGTAGCCTGCTTGGAAAAAGTGCACGTGAGAATTTTAAGGACAAAGGACATCGAGTGTACGTCGGAAATTACAGGTCGTACTGGCTTGCGTGAGTTGAAGTCATGCGATGCGGCACGTGAAAAAACTCCAGAGCGTCTTCACATTCCTACAAAAGACAATAAGAAAAGTCTTTCATAGCTTCAGTAACTGTCGCAAAACCATTGGCCGTGGCTAATTTAAATTTCCTCTTTCAACTTTATTAAAACCATTAGGCACCTTGTAAAAACTCTAAGCGGTTGCCCGGTTTACAGCCACTGTCAGCAAGCATCTTGAAATGATGATAAGCAGCGAAAATCCCCAAAAATGAAAAATCGAGAGGGCTGTTGCTTTTTTTCATTAGCAAAATGTTTGGACTACAACTGAAAGCTTGACTTGGAATAAACTATCTGGTAAACTGTTGTCGAGTAGAGACCATTGGGTCCAAAGCCTTCTCTTCTGATGTTTGTTTTTTGGAAAAAACAAAACAAAAACAAAAAACAAAACAAAAACGAAAAACAACAACCACAAAAAACATCCTTTTGAAATAATAGAAATAGAACTTCATCTCTTGTGAAAAACAATGAATGCGGTTTGAAAGCACAGGCCTCGGGTCAAAAGTTTCCGGCATGTCAATAAAAACACTGATCGCAGGTACTCAGTCTGTTCCAATATCACAAGAATTTGTAGCACTGAACGAGTTGTCGTCTATAATTGTGCTCTACGCTAACAAAGTAGGAAATCAATGAAAATGACCTCCGGGCCGTGATATAAATATATCCTACTAAACGGAAAACAGCAAGTACAGCAGTAACTAAATACGTCTTCTTGAACTAAGCAACAACTGGAACGTCACTGCACAAATGACTTCATTGCACACAATTGATAACTTTGAAACCTTGCAACAAAACTATTCTGTATTGTTGCTTTAAAGGCACAAAAGCCACTTCTGCTGCGCCGATCAAATGCGATATCGGCAGAAAGCATTTGTTTTTCAGCAAATCACTTGATGACGCCATGCTAATGACCTGTAAATGATCGCATTTGTTGTTCTTGGTCAAGACCAGAATGGAATCCAGTCTTTCGTCAGTAGCCGCATTTTGGCTTGTTAAGGCCAGAATATCGTTTGATCGCCGGCGCTGACATCTCATTTTCCTCAATCCATCAAACTAATGTGGTGCTGACATCGTAAGAAAGGCTTGAGGCGAAGCCATAAAAACCATCAGCCACTGGGAGACACTAACCACTGGAACAGCAAGTTAGAAGACACACACACAAACACACACAAACGGCGCATTGGCACCTTCCGGGACACGACATTTACATTTTCTGCCCGGTCCAAATGAAACCTGAAAAGGCCGTGCAAACTTTTTTTTTTTCTTTTCATATCTAGCTGATTTCCTGTGAGTTAGCAACCAGATGATTGTGTTCAAATGAATCAGAATAAAGTTCATATTGTTTGCACAGCTAACAAAAATCCTTTCTTTCTGCTTACAGAATTACGAAGGGAGAGCGCATCAGTCAGGAGCAGGAGAGCAACGCCAAACGGTTTTGCAGATACGCGAACGACAGGTACAGACCCACGGAAGCCAAATAAAAATATTCATGCCATTTACACCCTCGACTGGTCGTCAGCCATTCACAAGACACAAATAGACAAACAACCATTTGTAGTCTTTTTCACACCAATGGACAATTTTGAGTCTTCTGTGTTCATTACTTTTGGCATATGGGAAGAAGACAAAGTGCCTAGTAGATACAATTAAAAAATACTGAAAAAAAACAGTCACGCTTTGAGTTTGAAGTGACAGAACAGGAAAGTGTTTACAAGCCTCGTTGCTCATTTTTGTTCCTTTCGTACTGGTTTTCCATTTTGCTTTGAACGCCATGCTATTTGTATTCGCACGGGTTTGACATATTTAAGTTGTTTCACTGATCATTAAAATGAATGCCAAATATTTAATTCACTGTACAACTCATATCCATGGATTCTTATTCTCGACAAAGAGGTAGGACCGGCTGCACTCAAAATACCATCTCTAAGTAATCTTCCAATTGGATGAAAAACACAAATGCTCATTTAATTGATGAAATGTTGAATAGATACAAAATAACATTCTCGGATAACAGTTTCTCACTCTAACATTGATGCACCTTTCAATTAGACTTGAGGGAAACTCCTAGCTTCCTCCTGCGCATGCCCGTTACTGGCGTCTTGTGTGCGGCTAATTTGTTAGCGACATTAGCGTTAGCTTCATATGCACACCAATACGCTGTTCTAGTGGTGAATTCTTGTCAGGCAGTCTCATACAGAATCCAATAAAGGTTAAATAAAGATTGACAAATGTCGAACATTAATATAACATAACTCATGTAACACACCAACTCATCCTGCTTTGGACAAACACAGGTAGCTTAGCAACAATGAGAACCAAATATGAAGTTATTTTGATGGGCACATTCATTTGTGAAATTAATTATATTTATTTTATTATTTAATTATCTGATGGATAACAATGTGAAGATTATTTGAATTCTACTCACAGGGTCAGAGGTAAGTGGCGTGTTTTTTTTTTTTTTTTATTCTTCTTCTTTTAAATTTACAATATTATCCATCCATCCATTACGGTAACTCAAATCCCTGCAGGGAAACTCAGTGGATTGAATTTTGACAATTTGAGCTATATAATCTCTTTTAATCAGGATGTAATTTCAGTTAACATAAATTTCCTATCGGGGTTCCAAAAGTTCTTACTGTTTGAATGAAACATGAGCTCCTTTTAGCCATGAAGCCGGTCGAGATTCAATGATTCACAGGTGACAAATGATCTAGGCCTCGAGAGGACGTCTCCGCCTTTTTTTGAAGAATATGATACATTCCATGAATGGGTTGCCAATGCATTCATTTATTGTCGAGTACTCTTATTTTCCCACTGAATGCACCGCGGGCCTCATCTGCCTTTCAATGACTCCCCGAGGTGCATTCAGCTTAAGTGAGATGAGCAAATCTTTTCTGATATGAAGTCTGAGATCCATCTTTGATTTTTGACCCACAGATGCAATGACTGAATTCATTCAGCGTTTGTTCTAAATCTTTTTCTTAAGAGTATCCTTTTGATTGTCTTCAGGTCTGACAGAGTGGACGTCATGGTTCAACATTGACCACCCAGGTGGGAACGGGGATTACGAGCGCCTTGAGGCCATCCGCTTCTATTACCGGGAGAGAGTGTGCTCGAGACCCACAGCGATGGAGGCTCGCACCACAGATTGGGTTGCTGCGGCAGAAACGGGAGAAGTAGTCCACTCCAGTCTGGAGAAGGGCTTCTGGTGCATCAACAAGGAGCAACCCTACGGACGCACCTGCTCCAACTACCATGTCCGCTTTCAGTGCCCCCCAGGTAGTCGAGGTCCAAGAGTAGAAATTGCAATTTTACCAGTGTCCTAACTTCTGAGGTTTTTTTTGTCTTTTCTTTTTAAGGAGCACTCACTGAGTCGGTTTTATTTTGTGTTGCAAGCTTGGTCGCAGAAAACGACTACTGTATATTTTCACACTTGTAACGCCGCTCTTCTTCCAACTTGTTTCTCAGAGCAGAGTTTCTGGACCGAGTGGGGCGAGTGGGGTCCATGCACGACAACCGTTTGCAGCGATGTGGGCATCCAGGTCCGCCAGAGGAGCTGCATGAGCACGCAGCCAATGCCTTTGCTCTTGGTTCCTGCCTGCCAGGGCCACCATTCAGAGAGGAGGGAGTGCTCCACCCCTCCATGTACAGGTGATGACAAACATGTTCTCCCAATTTCGTGTTTATCTGTGAAACTGTTGTTGGCGGCCGAGGATTTTTAACTTGCCATGAGACCCTATTGACTTTCCATCCATCCATTTTCTGATCCACTTATCCTCACAAGGATCGCGGGTGGGTGCTGCAGCCTATCCCAGCCATCTTCGGGCAGTAGGGGGGGGGCAACCCCAAACGGGTGGGGCATCAACAAGGAGCAACCCTACGGACGAACCTGCTCCAACTACCATGTCCGCTTTCCGTGCCCCCCAGGTAGTCGAGGTCCAAGAGTAGAAATTGCAATTTTACCAGTGTCCTAACTTCTGAGGTTTTTTTTGTCTTTTCTTTTTAAGGAGCACTCACTGAGTCGGTTTTATTTTGTGTTGCAAGCTTGGTCGCAGAAAACGACTACTGTATATTTTCACACTTGTAACGCCGCTCTTCTTCCAACTTGTTTCTCAGAGCAGAGTTTCTGGACCGAGTGGGGCGAGTGGGGTCCATGCACGACAACCGTTTGCAGCGATGTGGGCATCCAGGTCCGCCAGAGGAGCTGCATGAGCACGCAGCCAATGCCTTTGCTCTTGGTTCCTGCCTGCCAGGGCCACCATTCAGAGAGGAGGGAGTGCTCCACCCCTCCATGTACAGGTGATGACAAACATGTTCTCCCAATTTCGTGTTTATCTGTGAAACTGTTGTTGGCGGCCGAGGATTTTTAACTTGCCATGAGACCCTATTGACTTTCCATCCATCCATTTTCTGATCCACTTATCCTCACAAGGATCGCGGGTGGGTGCTGCAGCCTATCCCAGCCATCTTCGGGCAGTAGGTGGGGTACACCCCGAACTGGTGGTTCGGGGTGTACCCCACCTACTGCCCGAAGACGTCCGTGCAGATGAGCTACTCCATAATCTGATGACGTCGAGCAGTGTGCTTTGGTAAATTTCCATGAAAGTAATCCTGTTGCGTGTGTGCAAGCAGCCAAGTGGAGTCCATGGGGTCGCTGGGGGTCTTGCTCCGTGACATGTGGCGGGGGTCGGAGGATCCGAAGGAGGACTTGCGTGAGGACCTCGGAGACAGTACAGTGCACCGGACGCCCCACTGAAACTCAAAAGTGTGGCAAGAGTACATGTCCAGGTATGATGCAAGACGGCGACGTATTTCGACATCACTGCCAACATTCGCCTGACTTTGGCTCGTTGTCCCGACAGTCAAATGTCAGCGCGTTTGCGCCGAGGGCCGCCCAGATGAAGATTGCAGCCGCTGCGTGTGTGATGGCCACGTTCTGCACGGCAACGTCCACAGCGTGACGGGGGTCCCTGTGGCGGGGGCCTTGGTGGCATTTGCCAGCCGTCCCAAAGTCATCCGTGCCCGGACGGATGCCAAAGGCCACTTCAGGCTGCAGGGAATCTGCTCGTCCAACGTCACTTCGCTTATCATCAGGAAGGATAAGTTTGCCCCCGTTACTGTCTCCTCCAGCAGTAACAGCACCGGCCTTTCCTGGGTGTCTGCTGTGCTCAGATCAGCTGGTGAGTAGAGATATACAGCATTCATTGCTACAGCGCTTGTTTGCATATGGATTGCCGGTGAGCTGCAGTCTAGACCAGCTGACAAAAAGTAACCAAAAATAAAAATAAAAATCATGACAAAATTCCAATTTTGAGCATGGACACGAATTCCACGTTGCAACAAGTGTGACCAAACACTCCCAAACACTTTAGCCAACTGGACAACTGGCAAATACAAACCCCCAAAATTCTTTCAAAAATTCTGATATAAAAAATATAAATTTTATGTCGGGGGATACTGGAAAAATGGAAAAAAATTAAAATATGAAAAAAATATTCTTTTTTTTTTTTTTTTAGTTCCCAGAATATAGAAATTTGCAGCTGCCTCACTGTAGTTTGAAGTTGCGCTATCACCAATCACCACTAAATGGCAGACATGTCTTTGTTGGGTGGGTCTTATACTGCCCCAAATTATAACATAAGAAGGCCTAATAATTATTTTATTTTATTTTTATTATTATTATTTTGCAGATTTGGAATTATATTGCGGAAAAACACCTCAATAATATTAAAATTATGAATTAGTTGATTTTTGTGGGAAAAAAAATGACAAAATGAATTTTTGCACTTAATTTTAGTTTCTTGTTCAGCAGTTTTATGCTGGTCTTTGAATGGTAACATTTATGCAAGAGAGTCCTTTGCACCTATTTTGTATGTGGTTATTTTGTTGTTGGGTTAGGATAGTGGATCTTTTATATTTGCATTGAAAAATGGATTATCCAAAAGGAATATAACACGTGTTTTGCATGTATGCATTGCATTTTGTCCATATTTAAAATTGCATTTTGTCATACAACTGGTTAGGAAGTGCTTGGTCCAATGTGGCCCCCCCAGTAGCACCAATTAAAAAACTGTGGACCCCTCCAGCATTTGTATGGACTGCTGTATTTATGCTTTAATTACGTATACTGCATTGCTAGTGGAACAAATATTGGAAATTGATTAAAAAACAACATTTCCTACAGTAAAGCTGTCCGATGTAGTAGTGCCATTTGCTTATGAAAATAAACTCCCTTTGATTTCTCCACAAATCAAGAACTCTCATAAGGAAACTTAAAAACACAGCGGGTACAATTCCCCTGCTGGTGAGAGACTCCACAGCAGCACTTTTTTGGTTGCGTGGAAACTAAAAAGCAAAATAAAAGTAAACCGCGTTGCACTGCTTTAAAAAAATCCAAATTCCTCTAAAACGTCGTTCTCCAAAAGCACATGGGCCAAACGTGTGAATCATGTATAATAATGGCATGCGCTCGCAAGGCAGTCTTTCAGGCTCATGCTGCTCCCTGCTTCCTCACAGAGAAACCCTACATTGTGAAGCACCCCGAGGACAAGGTGCGTTACGAGGGCGGCCGTGTGCTGCTGTGTTGCAAAGCGACAGGATCTCCAGCACCTGATAAATACTACTGGTGAGTTGAATTCTTGTGCCAACACATTATTTTGCCTACGCTCAAATAGGCCCCCTGTCTCATTTGGTTGCCAGTTGCGTCACCCACTTAAATAAATGCCTCTTCGCAAATAAACACCTCCTTGAAAGAAAAAAAATAAAATAAACACGGGCTTTATTCCATAGCCAGCGCACAATGGCACGGTCATACAGTCGTGCGTCATTTGCAAACCAGAATTGAAACGGGCTACTCATATCGACTAAGTAGGTGTCTCTTGCTGTGTGAAAATGAACAAACGTACCTTGGAGGCAACGTTCAACTTCAGAGTGGCAAAATCTCGTCGCGTCTTATTCCCGTAAGATCCTCAAATCAAATGAGCCGTACTGTCTAGGGTTGAGCGTAAAGAACATCCCGGATGGTGTGATCGGTGCGTGGCTTGTTATGAATTGATTAATCCACAACTAATCACTATCATATGAATCCACAACAAACATTTTGATTATCGACCAATTGTTTCGGGACCTTGTTTCGAGAGTAAATACAGCATTCGCAGATGTCTGTAATCCTCCATGAAAGCAGACTGATTGATCATGTTTGTGTTTCATCAAAATAAAGCATTTGAAACATTTGACTTTTCTGTCGAGATTTTGCCGACAAAATTGTGATGTGCTTTGTAACTGAATCAAAATCAGTTTTTGCATCTTCTGCAGTCAATTTGAAATAAAGTTCTGGCTTTTAATTAAGGGAATAAATGAGAAAAAAAGCGATTCGATACATCAATGAATCTCAAAAAAAAAAAAACAATCGAGAGATTGGTTGATTATCAAAATAACCGTTACCTGTCATCTTAATGGTAACGCTTTGTCATTGTAGAGCTCAGCGGTGTAGAAAATGGATCGTTTATGATGAACACGATTACAAGAACAATATTAACGATTCAGAATATGATTCTTTACTTTGCAATTCTCGATGGTGAAGGTACCACAACGACACCCTGCTGGACCGAAAATTGTACAAGTACCAAGAAGAGCTTGTACTGAAAGATCTGAAGCCGGAGCAGGCTGGACAGTATTATTGCAAAACCAGCAGCTCTGCAGGCAGCATTAAGTCCTCCCCAGCATCCCTCACTGTCATTGGTAAGTCTTGAATATCCATCATGCCCGAGCTACTGTGTGTCTCTTTTCTCAACACGTAAACCCAGCCAAAAGCAGCATCCAACTGATAATACTCTTTTGGAGGAGGGGTTGGTCAATGCACAGTGGTGCGATCAACTTGACGATCTGTCTGACTCTGCAAATTTACTCTCAATCCTTCACGGGATCAAGCAAAAGCAGAATTCATTCCAGGTCTTTAGAGACGGAATATTGCAGGTGAAGAGGAAGTGACCCCAAGCTTTTAGATCTCGTCTGTGAGCCGTGTCCATGCATTAAGAGGACCAAAAAAAACACACATCTGGGAAAGGGGGGTGGCGGGAGGGAATATTTTATGGGCTATTTCATTTTGGGGAGGAGAGATACAGGGGGAAATAATCAGACAGTCTGGCTGAAGTTCAAGACCTTTTTCTTTTGTTATTTCTAGCCATTTTAAAAAGCGATGCTTGTTCTACACAAGATAAATGCTCACAAAGCGGCCGAGGTGGAGGTGAAATTCACACTGGATGATAAATTCCCTTCTCTGATAAGAATCACAAGCATACATTTAAATGGGGTCGTGCGATGCCCATACTGCATCCTCCTGGCCCTTCTTAGTTTCAAACTGTGATTTCCAACCAGTGCGTCATTGACAGACCTTCAGATTTGCTGCAGGAAATGAGACCATCACATAATTGGTCAGAAAATTATGATTTAAAATCTTCATGTGTCTTTCTTCCGTTCCTGCAAGTACATCAGCTTTGGGTTCAAATAAACAGGCCCAGATTTCCAACTGAGTAAGTTAAATGGGAATGAGGAAGAGCTCATCATTCTTTCATTCTTCTTACTTTTCTTTTCCAATGCAAAACGTGTGCCTTGGCTCAATACATGTTGTGAAACATTGGTTTAAAATTAGCCAACACCATTACAGAACTAGCAAGTTGTTAGGCAGAGGTTCTATGAGCGTGGAGAGCCATTTCTTTTTATATTGTGTATCGTATATGGCTGAATTTAACCCTTTCAGGGACAGCGGTTACTGCAGTGATCATGTTATCAGGGTACAGGGTGCATGAAAGGCTTAATCACCCATTCTTTGCAGATTTGAAACCATTTATTTTCAAGTTTGGAGTACTGGTGGTCATCAAGGTGTGCCACGTGGCCCCTTGGTGTCTACATTTGGGGATGGAGAGTGAGGTGAGGAGATTGGCCACTGGGGCACCGTACTTACCCTTGTGGCCGACAAAAGTCGGCCAAAGCAAATCAGCCACATCTCTTTTGTTCCAAATATTGCACAATGCTTTATTTAGTTACACACACACACACAATGAAAATGTCATTATTCAGACCCCGGAGACCTCTATTTTCACTTGAGAAATATTGCTCCCCTCAAAATTTGGTAGACCGTGCTACGCCACTGCATAGCGGTTGTGCACCAGATCCAGTTTCAGATGTTGTTTTTGTCTCGGGATTTTTGTGTGTGGTGAGAACAAGTAGCAATGTTTCATGTGACTACACTCGGTCATTTTTACGTGATGCATCAACATAACCTACTTTGGTTTATTGCAACTTCGCAGCAAAAGGAGCGCCAGCGTGCAATTCCACCCCTGAGGCACATCTGATCAGACTGCCGCTGGATTGCGTACAACCCGGGACGAACTCCAAGTTTTACAACGCTGGCCGCTGCCCTCATAACAAATGCGCCGGCTCTCTGGACTTTGATATGCGCTGCAGAGATGGCGGCGGATTTTGTTGTGGTGTCCAAGCGATGGAAACTCGGACTATTGACTGCGGGAGCTACAGCCTTCCGATCCGGTCCGTATCCCAGTGCAGCTGTCAGAAGTGTGTGCAGCCAACTGTGCTTGTGCGAGGCAGAGTGGTCACGGCCGACAATGGTGAGCCGCTGCGGTTTGGTCACATCTACATCGGCAAAGAGAGGGCCGGCACCACTGGATACCAGGGAGGTTTCACCATACAGGTTACTCCCGACACACAGAGATTGGTGGTGAATTTTGTTGACCCCGCTCAGAAATTCATTGACACGCCAAAGGTCTTCATTTTGGACAAGAAGGGCGGGTCGATCTACCATGATGTGAAGGTCATGAGGAAGCAGGCACCAATTGATATAGATTCTGGTGAGACCAATGCTATTAACCTGGGAGAAATGAAAGGGGAAGACCCGATTGGGCAGTTGGTCATTCCAGCCAATTCCTTCCACAAAGACAATGGAGACATTTATGAGGGAACCGTAAAGGCCAGTGTCACTTTCATAGACCCCAGAAACATCACCACGGCTTCTGCCACCCCTGGCGACCTCAATTTTGTGGACCCCGAGGGTGACATGCTCCCTCTGAGGACCTACGGCATGTTCTCTGTCGACTTCCGTGACGAGAGCAACAAGGAGGTGCTCGGGGCCGGAGCGGTCCAAGTCCTTCTTGACACACAACATGTCAAAATGCAAGAGCACATTCCCAAAATGAAACTCTGGTCTTTAAATCCCGACACGGGAGTCTGGGAAGAGGAAGGCGACTTCTCGAGCACAACAACTACAGGTGGGCACGGACGGAGCAAACGTGAGGACCGCACCTTTCTCATAGGCAACATGGAGATTAGAGAGCGTAGGCTCTTCAATTTGGACGTGCCTGAAAACAGACGCTGCTACGTCAAAGTCCGAGCCTACATGAGTGACAAGTTTCTCGCTGTCGAACAGCTGGAAGGCGTCGTCATCAGCCTGATCAACCTCGAACCCAAGCCAGGATATTCCGCCAATCCAAGGGCATGGGGTCGCTTTGACAGCGTCATAACCGGCCACAACGGGGCCTGTTTGCCTGCTTTCTGTGACGCCCAGAGGCCGGATGCTTACACCGCATATGTCACAGCGATGATGGGTGGTGAGGAACTGGAAGCAGCTCCTTCTTCCCCGAAGATGAATCCAAACATCATCGGTGTGTCTCAGCCATATCTGGATAAAATAGACTACCAGCGCTCAGACCACGAAGATCCAGCCCTGAAGAAAACAGCTTTTAGAATCAATTTGCCGAAGCCCAACCAAAATAATCTCGATGAAACCAATGGGCCCATTTATCCGTACCAGAATTTAATAGCCTGCGAAAATGCACCCGTGGATGCAAATCATTTCAGATTCTTTAGAGTGGAGAAGGACAAGTACGAATACAACGTGGTACCCTTTGAGGAGACGGATCTGACAACCTGGACGGGAGACTACCTCTCATGGTGGCCGAACCCTCAAGAGTTCAGAGCATGTTTTATCAAAGTCAAGGTCCACGGACAGAAGGAAGTGATGGTCAGGTCGAGAAACCTGGGAGGATCGCACCCAGAGACAATCGACAAACTTTATGGCATCCGAGATATACGCAGCACTCGGGATATGCGAGAGGCCAACACTTCGGCAGCTTGTGTTGAGTTCAAATGCAGCGGCATGTTGTTCGATCAAGCCGAGGTGGATAGATCCCTCATCTCAATCATTCCACAAGGGAACTGTCGCAGGATCGCTACCAACAGCCTACTACAGGAGTACCTCATCAAACACCCCCCCGTTGCGCTAAGCAACGACTCTCATGCCTTCACTATGTTAGCCCCTGTGGATCCTCTGGGACATAATTATGGCATATACACGGTCACGGACCAGAATCCCAGGGTTGCTAAAGAAATCGCCATCGGCCGCTGCTTTGACGGTACCTCGGACGGTTTCTCCAGAGAGATGAAGTCCGACTCGGGAGTGGCTTTGACTTTCAGCTGTCCAGAGAGGAAAATCAACAGAGAAAGCCTCTTCCAACGGCTGCAGACCAACCCGGGACTGACACTGTCACAGATGGCGAGGGATATGAGGCAGATGGAAGGTATGCAGGTGCAGAGGTCATCCACTCGAGTAGTGGCCTATCCCTCCGAGCAACAGGGCAGGACCCAGGGTCGTCGGGTTGTCACTACGAGCAGGAGGAGGACAGTTGCGCGCATGCAACAACGCCAGTGAGAGAGTCCAGAGGTAGGTCCGAAGGAAGACTTATTCCCGTCGCGAGTCATATCAGAGTAACTCTCATATTAATACTCTTTTAAATGTCATTTCTAGACCTTCGCTTGAGGCGACTCGCATCGTGGGAGTAAAACCTGACAATCAGCTCAATGAACTTCCACTCTACTGTGGAAATCACCACACCCAGACAAACAGCAAAATGTTGAGCCTGGCTGAAGATATACAATAATCTTTATGTTGTACTTGAAGGGTTTGCTATATTATTTTTTTTTTCTCCTGTACCGTCCCTCCTGAAAGACCTCCCTCCATCCTGTGGCTATATGGAAAGCAGTAAGTGGCATGTATCTAAAAGTTCTGGTCACATTTTTTGTCTGAAAGTCGTATTTGACTTTCCAGAATGTACATTCTGTAGTGCTAATTTGTGGTATTCGGTGGTGGCACCCAATCAATGTAAAAACTGTTTTCCAGTGAGCGTCTGTAAAAGTTGCAGACGCTGAACCCTCTCTCTTCAAACTGAGAGGATCAAAAGAGAGCGACTGAACCCCCCGTTAGGTCACAGAGGACATTTTCAGACATTTATCTTAATGTTGTGCATGGATACGTCACTTGGTCGGCTGAGATTCAGCAATACAAATGTCCATTTAAAGCAAACTGGCATCATGGCGTGACTTGACACATTTGCTGATATGTCACCTAAAAAAAAAAAAAAACGTACGTAATTGCTCGGGGTCAAGATTGAATTTTTGTTCAGCTGTTCTGTTTGTCATGATGCTGTGCAATGAGAACATCGTATAATGTTACTAAAGGAGCTCTTTTTTTGTTTTGTTTTTTTTAAACCGAAATACTTTATAAAAAATGCTGCTAATGAAGCGGCAACTCTGTTAAATGGCTGGTGGTGGGGTGAGGGGGATTCCAGCAGAAATTGCACATTTTAGGCTCTAATTTACTACATTTGTGAGGGAAGCGACTGAGTTAAACTGTCAACAGTTCCCTTTTATGTCAGCCTGTGAACAATAACGTATCAAGAGGTCATTCGCCCCTCTTTGATGAGGGGCAAACAATTGCGAATGTTGGCGAAGGTAGAAAATGCGGGTTCATGCCGTCAGGGTTCGTTCAAGGTCGCAAATGTTCCAAAAAACATTCGCCTAATGCTTGCCAACAGTTTTTGTGATTTTTCTAATTGCAAGGACATTTTGAACATGGACAGGAACAGTACAGACGAGCGTCTGCTGACCGTTCGGCAAACATTTGCGACCTTGAACGAACCGTGATAAGAACGCAACATTTGCTGCCTTTGAAAAAAACACTCGCAGCTCAGTGGGATAGGGGCTTTATTCCCATTTTTTTCTTTTTTTGACACCCACTTTTAAGGCAATTTAATTTCTTAAAATACTCCTTCTAATCTTGCTTCCCTAAAGACTAAACTTACAGGATTTGACAACTCAGCATGATTCTTACAGACAGCAGCAACAATTTAAAATGTTTGTATAATTCTACAGTATATTAAGTGTATCTTGAATTATTCTCATCATTTTACACGTTCAAATTTATCTGGCGGCACGGTGGTCGACTAGTTAGCAGGTCCGCCTCACAGTGCAGGGTTCGATTCCGGCTCCGGCCTTCCTGTGTGGAGTTTGTATGTTCTCCCCGTGCCAGTGTGGGTTTTCTGCAGGTACTCCAGTTTCCTCCCCCCATTCCAAAAACATGGATGGCGGGTTAACGGAACACTCTAAATTGTCCGTAAATGTGAGTGTGAGCACGAATGGTTGTTCGTCTAAGTGTGCCTGCCCTGCGATTGGCTAGCAACCAGTTAAGAGTGTACCCGGCCTACTTCTCGAAGGCAGCTGGGATAGGCTCCAGCACACACAAGGCACTCGTGAGGATAAGCGGATTGGAAAATGGATGGGTGGATGGATAAAATGTTAAGATAACCTCTCCATGCTGAACTAATCCAAAAAACCAGCCAAGGGTGCCGGTGGTCCATTGGGGATCCCAGAACCGTCCGAGACATAAACACACTTGTGTGGTTGATTTGAAAATAAACGATGTCTTCCTTTGGGAGCCATTACAGCAAATGTTCATTAACAAACAAATAAGCGCACTCCATTTTGGAGACAAAAAAGTAATTATGGCAAGCAGGTGAAGTCCATTCCCATCACAATGGCAGCATCACATTTCTGAGATTAGAAATCGGCACTTGTCACTTGTCTCACGGTCACGCTGACGGTCAGTCGGCGTGATCCCGGTTTTGAATTTCCAATGCATGTTTCTTGTTTTCTCCCAAATCCCCCAAAACATGACTCTTGGGCGAATCGATAATTGAATCCAGGAGCGATAGCTACAGTCTGTCAGGTCATCATGACGTCAAACATCTGCAGAGCAACTGGAGGAAATGTTAGACCTGCACAGACATCTGTAGAAAGAATGGATGAAATGTTTGGTCAAGGAGGAAAAAGTGAAGTAATTGGGGTCTTCGCAGTCCATCGCGAGAGGCTTGACGACAAGCGGTTGCACGTGCAAGCGAAAAGAATGCTTTGACAGCAGCGGCAGCTTATTCATGAGAACAAAGCGGGAGTTTGAGCGACAACGTAACAATAATCACAGCCTGGCCAAGGCCTCGCATGGGAAAGAAAAGCGTGCCGCTTTGGAACATAAAAGGACAGTTAAGAGGCAAAATATTTGCAGCGTTTTGGGGATGAAATGATGCGACTTTAAGCCTTACTCGAACCGACAAAGCACACAAAAACAAGATTTATTCTGCGTGGAAAGAAAATGTTGATCTCAGTGGGAAGGGCATTCATCGTAATAACATTTCCACTTGGCGGAGGGTTGTAAAATGTTAGGCTGACAAATTGGGGGTGGTCGGAGATTGAATGTCTTCAGCTTTTGGCCGATGTCGAAATCTTAGCTTTAGGAATAGGAATCCGAGCCAACTTTCTTGAATTCAACGCATGCTCGCTGGCAACGTTTCCAATAGTTGGATACCAATTGCTGAGAACGTTTTTGACGTTGACGTACATAAACCGGTAACCCCAACCCAGCAGATAGATTTGCTTGCTCTTTCACGGTTTTCTTTCGACAATCAGGCTACATTACATAACAAACGCACACACAATGAAAGCAAACAAACAAACAATAAAAGGGTATTGATGCAAAATGTCAGAATTGCATATTTTCTGGCCATTTCCCACCGGGGGTCGTATCAGAGCTGTGACATTGATTATTGCTCCCTGTGAGCTTGTGAATCAGATGTTGTTTTTTTTTTTTTCAATGAGTCAGATCCAATAGGCTTGAAGTAACTGAAGCCACATACTGGACGCAATGCAAAATGTTGATTATTTAACACCAAAGTGAACATCTTCATCCAACAGGTATATGGAAATCTTTTTTTTTTTTTTAAATCTTTGGCGCAGTCCAGCTGGTCCCAAATAAATCATAATTTAGCCCAGAGGTCATCCTTGAACATTCTCCCACTACTTCCGGGTGAAAATTTGCACCTGCCGCTCTGCTTTGCGGGAAGCCGCCTTGAATTGCAGCTTGAACAGCATTAACATTTGCATGGTGACACCGGTCACTTTTCATGTGTAAATGGTGTATTGTATAAACTTTGTATGATTAAGAGACTGTAAATAAATGTTTGTGATGACGTTTGGAGTTTGTCCGATATAAGAAATAATAGAAATGAGAGTTTTCCATTGTTTGCTTATGTGCTCTGGATATAAATATTTTACGTTGTAATTCAGCGTTAAAATTCAATTCAGAATGCATGATTGACTTATAAACATCCATATATACATATATATTAAAAAAATAACTACTTTGGAGATGTTGACATTAAAAAAAATTATAATAATATTGTATATTGTTATATATATTGTAGGGCACTAGACTCCTTTCAAAACTTTTTTTCCACCTTTAATGTGACCAATAACTCTCTTGAAAAGGAAACGGAAATCTTTCAAGGGCAAAAGTAGAAAATGTAAGATAACCCTGGTTGCATAAATATGCACACCCTCAAACTGTTGGAGCACCTTTGGCTTTTCTTACGGCATTTTGTGCTTTCACTGATTGCTTTCTCAAACTGTTCATAATTCATTCCACCTAGTGTAAGGACCGAGTTCCATCTGAAAAAAAAAAAAAAACAGCACCACAGCATGATGATGCCGCCATCACGCTTCACTGTAGGGAAGGTGTTCTTTTAATGATGTATTTGCCCCAAACATATCTTTTGCAATTATTATATTATGATTAAGTTCAACCTTGGTTTCATCTGTCCACTTTTTTCCACCCCAAGATATATTGGGTGGTGGTGTGTGTGAAGGGGGCGGGGCTGGGATGCACACGAGCACTAACCACATGATCTCAGAGGCTTATTTTGACTTCGCTCTAAGCAATTGAATTTGATTAAATTGAGCTCTCCGGGTTATGAATCACATCAATGGTGTGACAAGTTTGGAAATGATTTATCTTGGTGTCTTTTTTTAAACACCAAAACCTGGCATTTGAACTGTAGTGTGTCGACTTTTTCTTTATTTTCATTTTTTTTTTTCATTTTTCTTCAATCCACCATATTTGCGACTTATTTCAAGACATTCAGAGTCTTTGAGCGGAGGTACATTTGTGGCTCAAACATTTAGGGATGTGTAGGCATGAAAAAGAAGTAGTGATATTTGATTAACGGTGACCCGGGTGTGGTTTTGGCGTGTTCACCAAACACGCCCACAGTTTTTAAACGTATAAACAACGGCTTGAATTTCTCACCACTTTCAAACCTCATTTCTATTTAGTTGGCTGTTTCATGTCAATTTGGCAGGCTTTTTAACGATTACTTCTTCTCTGCGGTGTGTCAAATTTACAACACAATTTTATTTTCATTTTACAGGAAATTGAAAAGACGGGACAGGTTGCACCAACACTAGCTCGGTCTCAGGTCTGGCTGCAGAAAGGGTTGCTTGGCTTAAAAAGTTTGTCAAAGGCAATAAAAAAAAAAACATACAATAAAATGTATTAAGATCACTTTTGTACATCTACACACAAAATTAAACACCATGTTTTCCCATCAAGCTGATGAATAATAAAGCACACTGCAAGACCTCAAATGTGCGCTGAAGTGTTCACCAGTGAAATTATGATCGTAATAAAATTTCCCTTCGTGGAGCAAAGGCACCAACACCTTCGTGACTGGGCGGCTGTGCCTCTGCCAGGAAACGGAGCTGACAAAAAAATATAGCAACGGCACCCGCTGCGAAAGATTTGACACACACACACACACACACACACACACACACACACACACACACACACACACACACACACACACACACACACACACATATATATACACACACACACGCACAGCTATAAAAACAAATATTTCTTCAGCCAATGATTCATTTGATGTCGAGAACCTTCCTCTGGCTCCTGTCAAACCAGCTTTCCATCTCAATGCGTCAGTAGAATGGTTAAAAAAAAAAACAACTCAATTTTCTATGACGGGAGACCCTTATTTGGGCCAGTCTTGAAGGGGACATGTCACTTTGTGACGCCGGTAGATGACTTCTGTCAAGGCCACAGGTCTCTGAGTCAAGGTAATAACTGAGTAGTGTGATTATTTCAAGTACAGAGGCAGTCCGAGGGAAAGGGCATGCCCATTGCTCAGATATCAAATAATTTATTTTATCTGAAAGATTTTGAAAAATACACATAAAATGTTCGTCATTTTCATAACAATCGGAAGCAACGATCGACTCACAATATCACAACGAAGATTACAATCTGCTCTTGAGCAATGTACAAGATACTCACACATCTTAAAGTTCAATGAGAATGCAACAAGACACGCATGTTCGGATCAATGAAAATTGCCCATATGTCTGAATGACTGGCGACCAATCCAGGGTCGAACTCACCTCTCCCCGAACGTAAGCTGCAATAGGTTCCAACTCACCAACACCCCGAGCGGGGACAAATACTAAAGAAAATGGATGCATGGGTACATAGTTACCCCGAATAAACTCTAACCTCAGTGTTAAGCAGCTGAGGCAGTTACGGGTCACGTATGAGGTGAAAACACAAATCGTCAACTGGAAAAACAATTTTGAATCCATCAGAGCTTGTGGCGTCCCAGCGCAACCTTTTTCTTCTGCATAGAGTTCCAAGTTTTGTTCAAGTATTTTTTTCTTGTTTTGTTTTTCAAGTTTACCAAAAGGTTTGTCTGTCTACGTGAAGTAATGTCCCGATGGCTCCTTCAGACAATTTCCTGATATCATCATTGTCTGACTTCGCTTGCAATCAAAGTACAAAGTCTGAACAACTGACAGATAAGACTCGGGAATGCTTTCAGATGGCTGGACTTTGTGGGGAAAAGTCTTATAAATAGCCCCGAATGTGCTCGCTACCGGTAGGACGTCCTGTAATCAGCAACTTGGCATCCCCGGCCAGGGTTATGGAAGGTTGAAGCTCAGCTCTTGTGATGGACAGGAAACGGCTGCAAGGAGAGACAGCTTGCATGCTTCACGTACACGTCACCGTCCTCCAGCTTGACTTCATGCACTTGTTGCTGAAACGGTGGAAAAAAGGAAGACATTAGACCGCCGATATTACTTTTGACAGTTGTCCTGAGGTGCATCCGATGAAGCTTTTATGGGACATGCATCAAGATTCCAGGCATAATAATTACAACATTATAGGGTTCAAACAATGCATAAAATGGTTCGAGGCTCCTCTCGCTTTCATTCCTGACCTTCAACGACGTCCCGGACTTCCCAGTCCTTAGGTCAAAGTCGTAGTCATGCCATGGACAGAAGACCCGTAGAATTCCATCAGCTTCCTCGATGTCGCCCTCGCACAACGGACCTCCTGAGAAACACAAGAAATGTTCATCAGGTAACCATATTATTTCCAATAACCATCAATAGCCTAAGTAGTAAAACTTATACATTCAGTTCCCGCTGTTATTTCACATTGCCTTGTGTTGTTTTCATTGTGGAGAGTATTGGATCAATCAATCAATCAATCAATCATCTACAAATTTGGGGGAATGAAATACACACAGTGCTGCTGGAGAAGTTGAGCGATATTTTTTTTACTCGTGTAGTCGGACTTTCATTTTGAATTGCTGTGAAGCATCTCAACAGCGATGATTTCAAGAGGCTTTTACTTTGAAATGCCACATCAGAAGGAAATAAAACTCCCTGTGTTTTACTGCACAATGTGGTCGGTCGCCTGTCAAGAGGAGGAGCTGAAATGTATTTCCAATTTTTTGAACTGCATTCAAATGCAAACGACCGTTTAACAGCGTCTAGCAGAATGTCGAACCGAAAGACTCATTTTACTTTGAAATCCGTTTTGGCAACGAGGAGGGGGAAAGCTTTAGCATGGCTTTAGCCCACTGTAATCGCGGTGTGGCTTTTAAAACGATCTTTTTTTTTTTTTACCGGAGTGTGCACAGCGGGCATCCATGGCGAAAAACTCCCCCTTGACGGAGAAGAGGCACACGTCCGACTGCCGGCCGAGGGACGAGTACACGAGTCGGCATTTCTTGCCGGAAAGCTCCGAGGCTGCGCCGATGTGTCTCCACGCAACGCCCACAACGGTTCCCTCGCCTTCTCCCGGGGATGAGGCCATTACAAACCGGCGTCGCTTGCCTCCCAAATGTCTAATGTCGCAGTTATCTGTATTTCCACCTCCATTTGTCGTTTTAGGTTGGGCACAGGTTCCATGTTTAACGGCCGAGTGTGACGCCACAGAATTTGCCTTTCCCCGCGCGTGCACGCGCCCGGTGCTCGTGATTGGCATTTCCTGTCCATCACTTTTGTTTTCATGGCTGTAAATATGGGGATTATTCATAATTAAAAAAAAAAAAGGATTTTCATTTGTATTTGGATTGTCATGTTTACAGTAGCTGGACATTGTTAATAGTTCAACACAGCATTTACAAATGACGAGAAGTAGGGGAGCAGGAACCATGTCTTAACTATTTTGATAAATTTGATTGGGGCAAAGGCTGACAGATTATGACTTCCAAGGATGTGTAGGAAATGTCATCATATTTCATTCATAAATTTGACAACCATGTGCATCAAACCCTTATCATAATTTTTGCACCTCGACCTCCAGCAAATAATTTTCTTCTTCCATTATGTCAAGGACTGCGCCTCTCGAGCACCGATATTAACTCATTCGATCCCAGCCATTTTCACTGGAGCAACGCCCTCAATCCCAGCGTTTTACTGGATTTTGACTGATCTTGCAAGGCCCACAGAATATTTGGTTCTAATGCGATATGAGCATGGAGCCTACCAAAATAAAGTTTGGACTCTCTTCTTTCAGCAGAAAAAAAAAATTCTATCTTTTTCCATTCTTCAGCAATCGGCATTACAAAATGGCTAAGTTTCATGAAAGTGATGATTCCTGGGCAAAAAACGGAGAAAAAAAGCTTTTTGTAAAAGCGTGCATTTCAAGCACGTGAGGCACCACTGCCACCTACTGGTTGCTTTTTTTACATGATTTACAATGCAAATGGCTTATTCTCATTCACAGATTGCATCAGACCCTCCTCCTCTCTATGACGCAAAAAAAAAGACTTAGACGTACAAGTACGTCCTTGGTGGGCGGGGCCTAATTTTAAAAAGACGTACAAGTACGTCTTGTGGAATAAAAGAGTTAAAGAGAATTAAAGAAGCCGCTTTGATTGGCAGCTGAGTTTATGCCCACAACAGCTCAAAACACCTGTTGCAACTACGGCAAGTGCTGTGTCAATGTGAAAATACCAATATCAAGTCTAACCCACCCCTGCGCAGATTTAGACTGCCTCCTGCACTAGACTTGCACTTGGGATGAAAATAGAGCCTCGAATATCCGGATTATTTGACGTGGCAGGGATAGGAGAGTGCATCAGCATGGTATCCAGCAGTCCCGTGTGAGTGAACCCTAAAAAAAAAACCTTGGTGGACTGAACAGATGAAAAGTACAATTGCATTCAGTTGAGAACAGACCTCTTTCCAGGGCCAAAACAAAAAGAGTTTCCACCTTTTGCATTGGTCTGAATTTCATCATTACTATTCATTCCGTAATTTAAGTAAAATAGCCAGACGTGACCTCTTTGATGGAGGTAATGATCAATAGATACAAACTCCCTGACTGCAGCACTTTGGGAAAACAGCTGGTGCAGAAATCAAAGCAAGTATCAGCCAAAAAAAAAAAAAAGTGCTCAAGCGGCCCTTCGCACGCCCGCCACCGTTCACAACCCAAACGCCGAGCCTGCTGCTGCTGTTCACAAGTGCACAAGTTGCATTATTGCACGCACACAGAACCTTTCCTGTTCCTTGGTGGAGGTCGCTCTGTGACACGGAAAGACGAAACTGGCCCTAATACCAAAGAGTGAGGGAAAAGTGTTTTGCAAAATATAATTGTGGATGTACAAACATAAAGTCTGTTATTGTTCTGTTTATGGCGTTTGAGGGGATTTAACTTTCCACAGTGCAGTTTAACATCACAAGTTGTTTTGGAGCTCTGCGTCTCAGTCGGCACTTCTGTTCAGCCTCACTGTCAAACTTGTTCTGTGACTGGGAAAACATTTTTTTCCAAATCACACTTGACCCAATAGATCAAAAATAACCACAGGAAGACGCAGCCTATTAAAGTAAATGAGCCATGTGAGATAAAATCAACCACTTTAATCTTCCACGACATGCAAATAAATCCTCTGTGTTGTCAAAGTCAAACAAAATCGTTTTTAATCCATTTTTTACCCATTTCTCAACCACAAATGTGTTTGGTGGTGGTGGCCAGAGTGCAGGCTCATCCGCTATTGCCAAGGCGGCTGTCAGTAGAATGATGCATCACAGAGATCGCTTGTTTGGACTGCAAGGAAGCAAGTTGTGGAGCTTGAGCGCAGTCGGATTCAAATGCTCCTTCAATGACCGTGTTGACGTTTTCAACCAGACACATTGTGTGAAATGAATCACAACAACATAATATTGAAGGAATAAAACATCTAAAATGACACTCACAGTTATTGGAGTTATTATTGAGGAACATTGAGGTGAATACCTTACTATGAAAGTTTTATTCTTTATACTGCATAAAGTAGAAACTTCAAAATATAACACAATTTGCTCCAATCTTCCCATCCATCCAATTTGTGATCCGCTTTATCCTCACAAGGGTCGCGGG